ATAAAATGATGTTAAGGAGAAATTCCATCATCTACATTACTAATTTTAAAAGAATCCACAGTAATTTTTATATTGGTTAAAATATTTTGACAAGATAAGTGGGTATATAATCAACAGACTAAGCATCACAGAATGTGTAAGTATAAGAGTAAGCTCCCATGGAAAACAGTTTTCAGCTCTATGCGGACGACATTTTTCTGTAACAAACATTTAGGCATGTAGTTTCTTATATTTAATATTCATAATTGCAAAGTTAGATGTAAACAGTCCTTGGTGCTTTTTTTAAGCTTTATGATATTAGGAAAGATTTTTGCCTCTTTTAATAAACAGACTTAGGCAGAAACTAAATTTTATGATAATACGAAACAGTGTATTTTATGGTAACTGGTATATAAATAACCACTAGTCTTTTGTATATACTGAAGCAAAGGATAATGGTTAATCCAGGGCTGTACATTCTCTGAAGTATTATAGCCTCTCAAGGGTCCTAACGTCAAAACTCATGCTTTCTGGTCAACTAGGTTTTAATTAATGCTGACTTTATTTCATTTGAAATTTATTCTTATTTACATTATAAAATAGAAGACGTTTTAATTTTATGGTATAAATTAGGATTTAATTTCATTGTAATCATTATCATTATTTGCGGTAGGAATGTGTAAAGTCAGTTGTCTAAATACCCCTCCACCTCAAAAAAAAAAATCTTCCATTTCTACAAAGATTTAAAGTTCCACTTTTAATAATGTTAAAGAGAAATTATTCTTACCTTCATCAAAAACAGTAAGACAAGTTTTATACAAGGCTGTTGCAATACAGGAGAAACTATCGCAGTGGGGGAGAGAGACTGAACTCAACTCCAGACGCAGCAGGGGTGAGTGGGGACTGGCAGCCATCAGGAAGGGTGAGGGAGAAGAGGAACTTGATCAGATATCAAGGGCGAGGTGATTCTCGATAAACTGACTTAGCATCATTTTTCACTGAAATCAGGCTCAGCAGTCCAAAAATACTTCAGTGTAATATTCAATAAATTACATGAATTATTTAATATTTTATTATAAAATAGGCTTTGTTTCTCTAACACTAGATGTAGAAAAAAATAAAATAAAATAGGCTTGGTGTTAGATGATTTTGCCCAAATGTAGGCTACTGTAACTAAGTATTCTGAGCGCATTTAAGGTAAGTTAGGCTCAGCTGTGGCTTGATAGGTTAGGTGTATTAAATGTCTTTTTGACTTATGATATTTTCAACTTATGATGGGTTTTTTGACAGGTAACCCCATCATAAGTCAAAGAACATCTGTATTTACTACATCACTGCTATGATATTCCTGTCAAAAATGAATAATTTTCATCTAGTTATGAAGAAACAACAAAATGACAATGAGGGATGTTCCACAAAATATATGGCCTGAAAGGATGACTGAATAAAGAAAATGTGGTGCATATATACAATAGAATATTACTCAGCCATAAAAAAGAAGAAAATCCTGCCATTTGTGACGATATAGATGAAACTAGAGGACAGTATGCTAAGTGAAATAAGCCAGACATAGAAAGACAAATATTGTATGATCTCATTTATATTTGGAATCTGAAAAAGGTGAACTCATTGAAACATAGAGTAGAGTGGTGATCATCATGGCTGGTAGGCATAGGAAACGGGGAGATTGCAGTCAAAGGGTACATTTCACTCATAAAATGAACAACTTCCGGGGATCTAATGGATAGCATGGGTACTGATGAATGTATTAATTTGATTGTGAGCATCATTATGCAATGTATATCTAATCATCATATTGTGTACCTTTATTTGTTAATTAAATATTTTAAAATAAATTAATAAATTAATATTTTTTTAAAATGCCAAGCTCATGAAAGTTAAGGAAAACTAAGAAACTACTCTAGATTAAATGAGTGTAAAGGAACATAACATCTAAATGCAATGTGTGGTCCAGAAGTGGCTCCAGAGTCCTAGTTCATCAAATATAGTGCTAGGGTAGGCTAAACTGCTATAACAAAGAAATCCCAAGATAGGCAATGGCTCAACCACAAAAGAACAAGATTCTTGGTCCATGCGATTGTCCTGGTCAATGGGATGTGGGTGTTTATTCTCCAGGAGGTGACTCGGGAACCCAGGGTCTTTCATCTTGTGGTTATATTTAGTGTCTCACTGTCTGCAACTAGATGACAGAAGTGGAAGAGGGGATACAGAGTAGATATTTAGTTTTGTAAAGTCATGTCCACTCGTAAGCCATCAGCTAAATTCATGCACATAGTCACACCTAACTTTAAGGAAGGCTGGGAAGTGTAGTCTAACTGTGCCATTAGGGAGGAGGAAATGAATTATCTGTGACTTATAGCTACCATTTCTTTGTTGGAAAGTTTTATCTTTCCATTCTTTCCATTCTATCCAAGAATGGCCACCCTTACATCTTGGAACCTGGTTATGATAGCTTCTTTAAAATCTTTGACTCTATGCTAAATACTAAATTCTAGCATTTTTGTCATCTCAGAGTTTGCATCTGCTGAGTGTTAAGTTTTGCTTATTCATTGCATGGTGAGTAATGTTGGATTGTATTCTGGACATTTAATATGCTTTGAGACCCTAGGTCCTTTAAAACACTTCAGTAGAATATTGATTTTGGTTTTGTTTAGCAGATTGTTAATCTAGGGGAGACAGTGCCCTAAACCCCGACCTATTAGAATTGATGGTGCTGGGGGAAGGGTATTTCTGAAAACTTGTGCCCAGGGACCTGCCAGCTGAGAAAAGCAAGGAAGCCCTACCCATAAGTGATTCTCTCTCACCACTGAACTGTTCTCTCCCTGTACTGATAACCTTGCTTCAGGAAGAGATCAGACAGACCCAGCCTGACCCAGCGTCCTGCAGTCTAGGCTCGTGTATCCGGGGTTGGGATCTCATGCTACATGGCTTTCACGGTGCATGCTGGAAGGGACATTGGGAGAAGAGCCGGCCACTTTGCTGCACGTGTTCACCAAGCCTTTTCTGCACCACAGCTGGCTTGCTGCTCTGCTTTCCTTCTTGTCCTGCCTCGCTTTCCTCTTCGTCTTGCCTGCCATGCCACTGGGGTAGCATTAATCCTTTCTGACCGAATCGTCTCAAATGCATCATAAACTCTTCCAACAGGTATCAATAGGATGCAGCCTTCTTTGCCACTATTTTTGTCAGTTTCATACGTACATCTGCACATACAATGACTTTAAAATGATATCCTGCATGTTCTTGCCTCAAATGTTCTAACCAACCTTTTAAAGATAATTTTACGCAAAATAAAGGTATCCACTTGAAATACACAGTTCGGTAAGTTGTTTTTGTCGTTTGAGATGGAGTCCCCTCGCTGTGCCACGCAGGCCGAGCACGGCGGCCGTTCACAGGCGCTATGACAGCGCGCCGCGGCCTCCAACGCCTGGGCTGGCTCGACCCTCAGTGCGCCTACGCTTTGACAAATGCACGCAGGGACCTGACTATGATGGAACCATGTCCCTCACCCTGAAAGGAAGACCGGTGTCATCTGAGGTGGCAGCGGCAGGCAAGAGGATCTCCTTCACGGCGCCTGTGGTGGTCCCGCCCCGGTGGCCGCTGGCCTCGTCCTTGCCCTTTAGCGCATTGTCCCCGGGGGCCCCCTCCGTCCCGCGCGCAGCGTCGCGTCTCCAGCTCACGACGGATCAGCGCCTGCTTGGCCTCGGAGGAGCAGGCAGTGGAGACGTCCTCGAGTTTCCAAAGATCTCATAATGCACAGGCCGCTGCTCCTGGATAACGTCCTCGGCGAGCCGCGCCCCCACCCCTCTCGCTGTGCCCCGCGGTTCGGCGGGGTCACTGGCTGCCCGCCTGTCCTCGGCCCTGTTCACAACCGTCGTCCCGAGATGGCGCATTTTCGCTCTCGGGTTTGACGTCACCCTCCCCGCCCCCCCCCCCAGGTGGCTCCATATCCTGCAGGCTCCCTGCTGCTCTCTGGCCAGCCTTCCCTTGGTGGCCCTGCAGGAAGGGCCAAAGAAGCTGATGCCGTCTGTTGGCAGCTGTAAGATGTTCTGCCACTCGGAGTAAAGATTCCTCCTCCAGGGCGGCAATGGACTTTCCTCCCTTTGCCTTGTGAACTGCCCAGGGCCTCTTCTGAGAGGTTGATGCCATCCAGGCAACACCATGGCGCACCCCCACCTGCCTTCTTTGACCAAAGAGGACCGAGCTGAGAAAGCTAAGAAAGCAAGCCCTAGGAAAGTGCCAGGAAGCCGTAGCAAGAGGATGATCAGAGACGCAACCCCGCATAGCAGTGGGGGTGTGTCATGGGCATCAAGCCCTCTGGAAACCCTTGGAGGCCTCATTTCCTCCTTCAATGTAGTCTTGGGCCTGTGCAGGGAATTCCAACCTCACAGAAGACAGCTTAGATAAGAAAGGAAGTGCTGGACGAAGACCATGGGCCCAGGAGTTCCTGCGGCAAAGGCAGTGCCATCACAGGCTCAGACAAGCCTGCTGGGGGCGTCCTGTGCCATTTTGCAGGAGGGATCCGGGTGCAGCAGCACCATGTCTGTTTCTGTTGGAGGGGCTGGCATTGTACCTGTGCTTGCAGGTACAACGCTTGTTTCCTACAGTCAGAGCAGCTGGGGCCCGCCTATCTGGAGCACAGGTGGTGCGATAGGAGTGGGTCAGCACCATGCCTGTGCCTGGAGATGCTGCTGTTCTCACCAACATTCAGAGCACACAGGAACTTACAGCCAGAGCACATCTGTTGCAGTCAGAGGGGGAAATGCCTTACAGTTTTAGGGGGACACTTCTAGTCTTACCTTCAGTGAGAAAACCAGAGACCCACACAGCTAGGGTACCCCATTTGACTTTGGAGGAACCAGCAGCACTGAGAAAATACCTATTTATACAGGCACTTTTGCCACTTCCATTGGTCAGAGCAACTGTGTTTCCGGCATGCACACAGCAAGCATCAACCTTGCCTATGGATTACCTCTGTCACCTGCCCAGGGCTTCATTGGAGACAAGTGTTGGCCCACAGAACCATTTGTTTTCTTCTGGTACAAGATCTAGGATCTCAGCCATTAAGGAAAACTTCCCATAGAAACAGTGAGTCACCATAGCTCCCCATGAATGGACCTTACTCTGCTGGAGTGAGGCCTAATGCCTTCTAGTTATGTCAAACAAACTTCACCTGCTCTGTCTTCCTACAGCAAGCTGAAGGCGCAACACCTAGGGTGTGTGTGTGTGTGTGTGTGTGTGTGTGTTAGAGGATGTGGACAATGAGGCTGGACACAAGTCGGCCTACTGCACTTGAGGAGTTCCACTGTGGAGAGCAGAAGTCTGGTCTGTATCCATCATCAGCAGAGCCATCCCCGGCCTTCACTGTCAGTCTGGCAGACCCAAGCTCTGGACCAGTTTTCCTTTAGTCTTCCAACTGGCAAGATGCCCACTGCTGCCTACAGCTATCCTTTGCCGATTTACCACGGAGGGCTCTTATCTTTATTGCCCCAATTATAAACCATAAAGCCTTGTTCTTGTTAATCGGTCTTCTGCTCACATGTCTTTACTCTTGGACTCAACTGTGAAAGGAGAATTGACTTGTATAAATCATGACGTGTTGAGCCAGACTTAGCTGTGCTATGTTTTCTGTGGCCCAGTGAAAAGATGTGGAGGCAGCCACACTTTATCATTGCACATGCTGACTGTGTTTCCAGGGTGGTGATGGTGACCCAGGAGGAAGGGCGGTCCAGAGGAAGGAGAGGTGGGCTGAGGGTCCCTTGCCTTTCCAGTCTTGGCTTCTTTCTTAACATCTGACCTCACTGGAGGCCAACTCTTCCACTTTACAATTTTAGTCTTTGTAAAACATTTGAATTTTTTGTGTGTTCTTTTCTTTAATTGAACTTTGGGCCAGTGCCCACACATTTCCACCTCAACCAGAGAGGGTGGGCTTGGCATCCAGGCTCTTGGACCTGGAGGGACAAAGAAAAAAAGAGATCACACCTTGCTCTGCAATTATTGAAAATTTTAAGTCTAGGATGTAACATATTACTTAGACATTGTCATCATGCTGCTTAAAATATCAGGAAATAACTGGATAGGGCCTATTTAGAAAATTAACCTGTATGGCTCTAGTCCAAACCACTGAAATATCAAAATGCAAATTTACAATTTCACCCAGATCCAGCTGACCCTAGGGATTTCCTGTATCTTCACTAGACTTACTTGCCAAAAATGCAGTCTTTTCTAACATATTCCATGACCCAGGAAAACCACCTTAAGATGGAGGTAAGGGAAAAGTTTAGCATCTCTTGCCCTAGCAGAAATTACAAGCTATTGGAGGAGGCAGATAAATAAGCCAAAAATTACAACTGGAGGGTAAGTGATAGTGTTCGAGAGCAGGTAAAAAGAACATAAAACTAAGTTTGCTGAGGTGAGAATAAGTTTGGAAAATGACTTCTGTTCTGTACAAGAAAGGAGATGGTGGCATGCATTAAAAATTTTCAGGTACCCTTCAAATGTCTAATAGGGAGAGGGTTTGAGTTAATTACAGAAATGTGCTGCACAAAACTCAGAGATAGCACATAGCCTCTCCCCATCTTCCCTTCCTTGTCTATAAAATGCGAACATAACCCTCTGCCTTCTAAATCAGATAGACAATATGATGATTTGGAAAATGTGAAATACAAAATATAATAAACCAGAGAGGCTGAGTTTGAATCCTGCCTCTAGCACTCAACAGCCTTGTGATCCTGGTGAGGTATTTAATCATTCCGTAAAATAGAACTAATAATAGTGCCAAATTTATTCAGTTGTAAGAATTAAATTAATTACAATATATAAGGCATTTAAAATACTGCCTGGTGCATAGAAGGTGAAATATAAGAGTTTGCCATTTATTGCAAAATGTTAATTATTCTTAGAATTACTAACATCTGTTTTATTAATGTATAATCCCTTCAAAATTGATATGATGGTGCTGTAAGCCTGAGATCCCAGGAAAGATTTCATCAGCTAGCCTGAGAAAGTTTGTTGGGAAAATAAATTGTTGATCTTTATCACTTTCTTTTCTATAATTACCAACTCCATTTGACTCTCCACAGAGCAGAATAATTAAGATGGTTAAAAGGTGCTGGGGAGCTAAATATTGCACTTTGAAATATTTCTGTAATATAGAGAATTCCACCTCCAGTTGGGTTTGTGCATAAAGCTTGAGAGAAACCTGTCTCCATCTGTGTCTCGAATGGCACCCAGCGTGGTATCCTGAGGCCTGAGGAATGGGGCACCCACAGTGCGGAAGCTGGAACAGTAGGAGTCGATTTATCCCTTCCATCCAGGAGAGGCTTGTTAACAGAGCTACATGGTTTTCACTAAAAGGTCAAGTGCAGACAGACAGATTTGACAGAACAGAGTGATTGCACATTAAAGGTCTAGAGTAGAAATGTCTGTCACTTCCCTCAATACTTGCCGGCAGCCATCTGGTGCTGCAGTGACATGTCTCTTTGGGCATTTCAGAGCAGAGCTGTAGAATACACTCAGGAGGGGCCCTTCTGTGTCAGAGGATGGAAAAGTCTAAGGGGAAATAACAAATTTTGCTTTTATTCAGTAAATGGGCATATGTTGTCCCCACCCCATCTTCTCCCTCAGTGGTCATTGACAAAGTGAAAGAATGTAAAAAAATGTGGATAGAACACAGGACAGAACCCCTGGTGGGTGATATGATGGAATTGACTACTATTCTCTCTTCTAGGAGTTCTTTCTACCTTTCCCTTCAGAACAGCAGTGTGGTATTTTCTTTTGAGTGGTGTCTCTGTTGACTTATTAATATATTGTCTGATTTAGTTTGTTGGGACAGAGGAATGCCATGGTAGCTTCTCAGCAAAGACGACCTTCCTGTGAAACATGGTATCCAGTATCTGTGCTTTCTGTAGTCTCTCCTACACTGTGGATTTTGGGCAAGGGAGATGAAGTTCTCAGAAGCTGCAGTAGTCAGGAAATTGAGGCACTGAAGTAGAAGACAGAAGACAAGGGTGATGTAAGAAAAAGGATAGGATTGGAAGCAGAGTGGTCACAGGAAGCCAGAAAAATACACAGTGTAGGCATATCAGTTCAGGTGAATCACATGAATATGGAATTCTGCACTACAGTGGCTTTTTTGTGTATGGTTTAGAGCAGTGGTTCTCAAAGTGCAGTATTAGCATCAACTGAGAATTTCTTAGAAATGCAAATTTTTTTGGCTACCTACTCAGGGGTTGAGGTGCATTAATTTGTGTTTAACAATCTCCAAAAGATTCTGATGTCCACTAAAGTTTAAGAACCAGTGGTTTAGATATTGGTTACTAAAAATGTGATCCAAGGAGCTTGTTAAAAATGTAGACTCCAGCAGAATAAGAATCTGTTTGTTAAGAATATCCCTAGATGATTTGTGTATGCCTAATGTTTGACAAGCACTGAATTAGAGTATTCATGCCAGACTATAGGCAGTACCTCCAAGTATTAAGTGTTTGCAGAGCAGACAATATGGAGAACTTGGATATATTCCCATTTGAAGAGGGCTTGGCCCTGAACAGAGCTGAGCCATGGTTGAGTTGGCACTTGAACCTCTTGCCTGAAAACCTTACCTAGAAAGACCTACGGTCTCTACCCATCCCTAGTATATAAATGAGACTCAGGCTTGGAACATGAATGGCCTGGAGACTCTTGAGCTGTATTGTCTTTCCAACCTGAGAGGGAAGCCTCCTTCTTATTGCTGGACTTCTTGGCTATAGCCTCACAGTGACAAGTGAGGCATCTTAGCAGGGATTCTCGACAGCATCTTAGGAGTTGCCTGAGGACTAGCAACTGAAGGCAGTGCCTCGTTTTTCATCCTGTGGGCCTTTCTTACAGCTCTTTTGTAAGTGATAGCATCCCCTATCGTACTGGAGAGAGGGAAGAGAAAGCTCTCATTTGCTGAGCTTTGTGTGTGTGGTGAGGCATAACGCTCTTTTTTAAAATATGCCTCATTCCACAAAACCATCTTATGTAATGGGCACTATATATTAACTTATTTAATTTAATAAGGTTTAATAGCTTAAGGTTTAAGGGAGTGTGCATGTTCTTGTCATTAGAAGCATCTTTTCTAATTTCTCTTATCTTCTGATAGGACCTGAAGATCTCTTCATCATTAGACAACTCATTGTGACAGTAGGAATATCCAGGCTAGAAGGCAGGGCAGAGTGTGAGCCACATTGAACCGTTTCTATTAAGATGTTATACTACCCTTTCAAGGAACATCGAAAAGGAAAAAAAAAAATCCATAACTCTTGAGATGTACCCAACAGGCTGACAATTACATAAGCTTTTGAAAGAAAACTGGTAAGCCTATATTAACCAAGTGTTTTTATTTGCCAGGGCAGGGGATGGGGAGAGGCAGAACAGAATGGGGGGGGGGAAGCATTGTTTTTGGTTTGGATTTATGTTTTAGTTTCCCAGTTTCTCAATTTATTAATAGTGACCTTGTTCAAGGTCAAGGCTAACAGCCTTAAGCCTCAGGGTTTGTTTTGTTTTGTTTTTTGTCTTTGTTTCAATTTTTTTCAAATACAAAGTTTCTGAGACATATTAGGCCTAACAAAAGTATTAGCCCTCTTCCCTTTCCTCTGTGGTTTCGCCTTGTTTTATTCTCTAGAATGGGCCCTGACGCAGAACTGTGGTAAACTTCAGTTTGACTTCATTTCTTCCTGAGAGATTGTTGAGCTCAAGTAACCAAGGCACTGGGGATGACAACACTAATTTTGTCTTTATACAGTCCTTTATAGTTTATAGTAGCATCTATACATTTACTTATTTTTCCTTTCATGAATTCATTCAATTTCTATGAAGTGAGCTATACTCCTTGCAGGCCTATAATGGTAAGCAGCAAATACCCCAAGAAGCTACAGTCAAGAGTGTTGGCAGACATTTAACAAATAATCACATAAGATGTCTAAGTATACACTGGAATAAATATGGAGAAAATGTACAAAATGCTGTAAAGTTGTATAACACAAAATCTGATCTTATCTGGGCAAGTCAAAGAAAGCTTCCTTGAGAGAGTGACAGATGACCCAAAGAGTAAAGAATAATTAAGAGTTAAAACATAATCAGACCTTAGAAGAAAACATGGGAGAAAAGCTTCAAGATTTTAAGTAGGCAACAAGTTCTTAGATACAACACCAAAATCGTGATTGATTTTTTAAAAAATGATAAAATGGAGGTCATCAAAATTAAAAACTTTTACTTTCATAAAGACTCAGGAGATGAGCCAAAGACTAGGAAAAATATTTGCAACATGTATCAGAATCTATAAAGAACTATAAAATCTCCACAATGAAAAATTAGTCCATAAAAATGGACAAAATGTTTGGATAGAAACTCTGCCAAAGAAGTTATAATTGGACAATGAGCACATTAAAAGATGCTCTGTAAATTCTCAAGATGGCCCACTAGAGACATACCTTGTCAGACTGTCCCAGATGAAGGGTAGAATGTTGGACTAAGGAAAGTGGAGAATAATTGTAGCTCAGGTGTAGATCACAGGGAGTGACAGTAGAGGCATCCAGGGACTCCATGTAGAAGGGCTGCAAAGCTGAGAAAGAGGAAGAGAGAAAAGAGAGGACAGTGGTGGACTAAATCCAAAAATACCTGGATCCCAGTGAAAGGGTAAGGGGGCTCCCCTCTCCTCTGTGAGTGACTATGGCATGCACTGGGACACAGAACTCTAACCCACTGGGAGAGTGCCATGAGAGACCAGAGAGCCAGCATTCTTATACCTAGACACCTCCTCCTCTGTACCTCCTCCATTCCTGGTGTCACAGAAAGTAATTTTGCCTTAAACCAGCTTGTAGCCATTGCCCCCCACCCCCGTAGCAACCACAAGAGTTCTTGATTCTGAGAAGCCTGTTTCTTTGCAATGGGGGCATGCTCCCAGCTGAGCCTGCCACTGAGAGTGGAGCCCCCTCAGTGACATTTCACAGGATTTCCCACTGGTAGCTTGCATAGGTGGGCAACCCTGATGCTGAAGAACACAAGAGTGATATAGGGGGACTATAGCCCCTCCTATCCCATAATAACTACAAGAGTGCTCTGTGCTGAGAAGCCTGTTTCTCTGCAGCAGGGGCATATTCACAGCCGGGCCTGCCACTGAGAGTGGAGCCTCTTCAGCACAGTTTCATGGGATTGCCCACCGGTGGCTTAGACAGGTAGGTAGGACATGGTGCACCTAGGACACATGAGTTGTACAGGTAGACCACAGCCATTCTCCACTACAGCAACCACAAGAGTGCTCAGTGCTAATAAGTCTCTATCTCTACTGTAGAGAAACCACAAAAACAATGCAAGAAATGAATGAAGAATTCCCTAAAGGAATGAACTTATTAAAGAAAAACCAAATGGAACTTCCAGAAATGAAAAATTCATTCAAGTATTTACAAAACATAGTGGGATGCCTTAAGAATAGGCTAGACCAGGCAGAAGAAAGAATCTCAGAACTTGACAATAACACCTTTGAGCTAAACGATTCAGTCAAAGTAAAGAACAGAGAAATAAGAGGAATGAACAAAGCCTATAAGAAATGTGGGATTATGTAAAGAGGCCAAATATAAGAATCTTATGCATCCCTGAGGGCAAAATATCATCTTGGAATACTACAAAAATCTGTATGAACATAAAGTTGAAAATGTGGAGGAAATGAACAAATTCTTGGAGGCACACAGCCCCTTAGGCTCAATCAGGAAAAAATAGAATTTCTGAACAGACCAATATCAAGCATCGAAATTGAAACATCAATTAAAATTCTTCCAATAGAAAAAAAAAGGCCTAGGCCACATGATTTCACACCTGAATTTTACCAGGCCTTCAAAGAACTGGTACCTATGCTACAGAAATTATTACATGACATTGAGAAGGAAGGAATCCTACCCATCTTCTTTTATGAAGCTAATATCACTTTGATACCAAAGCCAGGAAAGGACACAACAATAAAAGAAAATTACAGACAAATTTCACTTATGAATATAGATGCAAAAATTCTTAATAAAATCCTAGCAAACCAAATTCAGTTGCACATCAAAAAATAATTCACCATGACCAAGTGGGTTTCATACCAGAGATACAAGGAAGGTTCAATATATGCAAAGCTATAAATATAATTCACCACATAAATCAAAGCAGAAACAAATACCACTGGATCCTAACAATAGATGCAGAAAAAGCATTTGACAAAATTCAGCCCCATTTTATGATAAGAATGCTTAACAAAATAGGCATAGATGGGACCTAACTCAAAATTATAAAAACCATATACTCCAAACCTGCAGCCAACATCATACTGAATGGGGAAAAACCAAAAGCATTCTCACTTAGAACTGGAACCAGACAAGGTTTTTCACTATCACTACTTCTATTTAACATAGTGCTGGAAGTCCTAGCCAAAGCAATCATATGAGAGAAGGAAATCGAGAGGATCCAAATGGGGAAAAAAAGGCCAAACAATCACTGTTGACTATATGATCTTATATCTAGAAAATCGCAAAGACTAGTCCCCAAACAACAGATGGTGGCATAGATATGGAGAGAAGGGAACATTTATACACTGTTAGAGGGACTGCAAACTCGTACAACTTATATGGAAAATAGTATGGAGGCCCCCAAAAGAGCTATAAGTAGACCTACCATTTGATCCAGCAATCCCACTATTTGATATTTACCCAAAGGAAAAAAAATTATTTTATCAAAAAGACATATGAACATATGTTTATTGCAGCACAGTTCCCAGTCACAAACATGTGGAATCAACCCAAGTGCCCATCAGTAGAAGAGTGGATTAATAAAATGTGGTATATGTATACTATGGAGTACTACTCAGCCATAGAAAAATTGTGAACTAATACCTTTTGTAACAACCTGTATGGAACTGTAGACCATTCTAAGTGAAGTATCACAAGAATGGAAAAACAAATCGCACATGTACTCACTATTAAATTGGAACTAATTGATTAATACCCATGTACACATATAGTAGTAAAAATCAATGGAACCAAGTAGGTGGAGGGGGAGGGAATGAGTAAATTCACACTTAATGTATACAATGCACACTAACTTGGTGAGGGGCATACATGTAACTTTGATTCAAACTGCATAAAAGCAAATCATGTAACCAAAACATTTGTACCCCTGTAATATTCTAAAATTTAAAAAATAGAAAAAATAAAAAAGATACTCAATATCATTAGTCATTAGAGAAATTCTAATTAAAACCATAATAAGATACCATCACATATATTAGAATGACTAAAATTATACATGCACAAACACACACGCAACACAATATCAAATGCTTGTGAGAATGCGGAACTATAACTACTCTCACGTCTTGCTAGTGGGAATAAAAAATAATACAGTCATTCAGGAAAAGTTTGGCAGTTTATTACAGAGTTAAATATACACCTAACATGATTCAGCAATCCTTTTCATAGGTAATTATACTAGAGAATAAAAACTTATGTTTACACAAAAACTTGTACACAAATGTTTTAGCAGTATTATATATAATCACAAAAAACCTGAAAACAAACCAAATGACCTTTAGTGGATAAATGGATGAACAAACTGTGGTATAACCAACAATGAAATACTACCAAGAGATAAAAATGAGCAAACTATTGATACACGCCGAGTTATGCATTATGCTAAATGAAAGAACCCAATCTCAAAAGTTTATATACCATGTGATTCCATTTATATGGCATTCTGATATAGGCAAAAATAAAGTATTCTGGCATATATTTCTAAGAATTAAAATAATTGGAGGAACTGTAGAAATAGGGAGGAAATAGGTACTAGATAGAAAAAATTATAAATAAGTAAATATAGAGCTAAATAATAAATGACTATTTTAAAACCTTCAATCTAGGCTAAGCACTTTACATGGGTTATGTCATTTAATCTCTACTAAGGAATTTTTAAACTATTATAAACCTATAAGTTGGTTTTTTTTTAAAAAAAAAAAACCCTGTTTTTAAGAAACCGACGCTAAGAAAATTAAATTAACTTATCCAGTTAAGGATGGGCAAGTAGGAAAGTCATGATTTTAATCTAGCAATCAAACTCTAGTGTTTAACTGTTTTGAACACTATGCTATCTTGCCACATTTGTTAATCTCAATAACGGTTTTATATTGATCTTATGGTAAATAGAAACCATGGAAAGATTCTATACACATCCATTGCTCATTAAATTTCCATTTTTAAAAAAGAATACTAACTGCAATTTGGGGGATAGACTGGTGGAGGTGGAGCTTGACAGGCAGAATAAAGTGAGACATGGGTATATGGCTGTTA